CCGGAGCCCAGCGGGTCGAGGCTGCAGTGGCCGGGAGTGACCACTGCACTCCAGTCTGGGTGACAGAGTGAGACTCCAACTCAAAAAAAAAAGAAAAAAAAATATTTGTCTTTGTTTTCCTACCTTCTTCCATTCTTCTTAACACACCCTGTCTCTATGCCCTATTACTAATTATTAATTTCTTTTTACTTTTGTGTTTTTCAGAATACTCTTTGTGTTTTGTAGAATACTCATTTCTTAAACTATATTAATATGTGTTCTGGTTTAGTAGAACCAGGTTAAGGAAGTTTTTAAAAAGTTTTTTTCTTTTATTGGCCTTCTCAGTGCCTTTGCAATGATAATATGCCTTGTGAATTGCAAGAGGAAGCTATACTGTGCTGTTTATTAAATATATTTGGTTATAGAATTTTTTGGGGGGATAAATATATTTGTCTTAGTTGATTTTGCATTGCTAACAGGGTACCTGAGGCTGGGTAATTTATAATGAACAGAGGTTTATTTATTTATTTATTTTGAGTTGGGGTGTCACTCTGTCGCCCAGACTGGAGTGCAGTGGCCACTCCTGGCCACCGCAGCCTCGACCTCCTGGGCTCCGGCGATCCTTCCGCCTCAGCCTTCCAAGTAGCTGGAACTACAGGCACGTGCTACCACACCCGGCTAATTTTTTGATTTATTGTAGAGATGAGGTCTCGCCAAGTTGCCCAGGCGGGTCTCGAACCTGCAGGCTCAGGCAATCCACTCACCTCAGCCTCCCAAGGCGCGGGATTACAGACTGAGCCACCGAGCCCCGACCAGAGGTTTATTTCTAACAGTTCTGGAGGATGGGAAGGCCAAGGTTGAGGTACCTACATTTGGCAAGGGCCTTCTTGCTGTTTCATCCCATGGCAGAAGATGAAAGGGCAAGGGAACCCACGGTGAGAAAGAACCAGAGAGGGTCAAACTAGATTTTATAATGAGCCCACTCTCTTAATAACAACATTAATCTATGCCCTCATGACCTCTTAAAGATCCCACCTCTCAACACTGTTGCTTTAGGGATTAGGTTTCTAACACATGAACTTTGGGGATCATAGTCAAACCATAGCATTATGCTAATGTTTTCTAGAACACTAAAGCTGTTTTAACTATTAGATATTAAGGTATTAACTGATATTTAAACCATAGCTCCTTTCTAGGGGATATTTGTTGATCGGGGTATTTTTGAAACTGGAAAAGACTTAAGAACCAAATTAATCAAATGTATGGGAAGGCAAGCAGTTAGGTTGATGTTTTGGGATTTAGGACTGTTTACTTTGCTTATTTGTGAGAACTGCCTAGATCTGAAATATGAGAGGAAGTGTTCATTGATAGGGAGAGCACACACCACTCTTCTCGAAGCCACCCATCATTTTTTTTGTTTTGTTTTGTTTTTTTGCTGCCTATTTATAGAATTTCCCTTAGGTCATACCCAGCTTTGTCTCTGTTCACAGTCTAGTCACTTAGTGCCACAACAAACAAGAGATAGAGGGGAGTGTGAGTCCCCCTTGTCCTCCTGGTCTCCTGAATTGCAGGAGAGAATTAATGACGATGGAATAATGCCTCTAAAATGTTAAATCATCATAACCAAAAAGTATTTTTAGGATAGATAATTCATCTAGTAGTGCTTGTCCTGAGCCCTGAGTTTCACCTTTTGGGTTTTATAGCTAAGAACTTGATGTCATGTCTTCTGTTTATCTTTTTTTTTTTTGAGTTGGGGTCTCACTCTGTTGCCCAGGTTGAAATGTAATGGCATGCTCACGGCCACCGCAGCCTTGACCTACTGGGTTTAAGCAATCCTTCTACCTCAGCCTTCCAAGTTGCTGGAACTACAAGCATGCGCCACCATGCCCAGCTAATTTTTTGATTTATTATAGAGATGAGGTCTCACCAAGTTGCCCAGGCTGGTCTCGAACCCATGGGCTCAGGCAATCTTCCCACCTCGGCCTTCCAAAGTGGCTGGGATTATAGGCATGAGCCACTATGTCTGGCCCTTCTGTTTATCTTAACACACATTTTTGTTTCTACCAGATTACTCACTATCTCAAACCCTAACAGTCACATTTCCTCTTACATATACTAGCTAATGCCACATCTCCAGCTTTATGTGCTCTCACGTTCCTTTTTATATTTATCTAAACCCAACCAATTCTCCAAAAACTCTCCTTAAATTAAGTTCTAACTTCTTCTGAAAATTTTTCTGGGTAACTGAGTTCTCCCCTTTTGGCATCTCTGGGAGGTTCCCTTTGCTCTGCGTTCTTGACCTATTGGTTATTGTTGGTTCATTTGGAAAATCAAGAGCTCAGTGCCGATCATCACAACTTTGCCTTGATAAACCTCTGGTCCTCATGACTGTTCAGCTTACTGATTACTTAGCCACAGGATCTGATTCCATTCAGAACAGTCCTGAACCAGGAAACACAGTTCCGGGAGAGAGATTTGTGAGTTCCTGCTGACTTGGAACCCAGCCAGGAGGAGCCTCCTTCAATAAATGACAAATGAAATGGTTTCCTGCCTGGGAACCGTGTATTTAGGATTGATTAGCAGGCGTAACAACCAGGTCAATTTAACTTGAGGGAAGAGATTACCTGCCCTTTCCTGCTGGTATAAAGCCCTTCTCTCTGGCTGATTGGATTTATAAACTACCTTATTTCAATGTTCCTTGTAGTTGCACTTCAAGGCATAATTGGCAGGTGAGCTAACTCCGTTTGGCACCAAACCAGAGCTTGGAGTTAATGTCACTTAGGAAGCCATTTTTGTGTTGGTTATAGTATAAATGAAAAGTAAAGGTTCTAACAGATTTGCAGCAGTAAGATTACATTACCCCTGACAGGGCACTAGGGAAATTATACGGATAAATTCTTTCACTTTGATGCCAAATAAAAACTGATATACCTATAGGAAGGTAAAATCAGAAGCTTTTCAATATATAAAACTTAAATTTTGTTGTTACTGGTAGTTTAGTAATAATCATCTTTAGACCCCAGTTTACTGTTCTTGTTACTTAATAATCTCTGTCTGCTTTACATTGATGGAGCTATTGGCTTACTTAAGTTTAAGGCTATTAAGGCTGCAGGATGTGAAGTGGAACATGAAGCTGGAGTGGATAAATGCTTTTGGAAGGTTATCACATCATGTGTTGATAAAAAATGCCAGCAGGACATATACTCATCTTCCCTTTGAAATAAAGTTTTCAGAGGCCAAGACAGGAAGATTGTCTGAATCCAGGAGTTCAAGACCAACCTGGGCAATATAGCAAGAACTTGTCTCTACTAAAAATGAAAAAAATTAGCTGGGCATGATGGTGCACACCTATAATTCTGGCTACTTGGAAGGCTGAGGTAGAAAGGAGGCCTGAGTCCAGGAAGTCAAGGCTACAGTGAGCCATGATTATGCCACTGCACTCTAGCCTGGGCAACAGAATGAGACTCTGACTTAAAGTAAATAAATTTATTAAAAGTTTCCATTTCAAGCTGGGCTCGGTGGCTCAGCCTGTAATCCCGCACCTTTGGGAGGCTGAGGTGAGTGGATTGTCTGAGCCCGCGGGTTCGAGACCTCGTCTCTACAATAAATCAAAAAATTAGCCGGGCGTGGTAGCACGCACCTGTAGTTCCGGCTATTTGGAAGACTGAGGCGGAAGAATCCCAGAGCCCAGCATGTCGAGGCTGCAGTGGCCGGGAGCGGCCACTGTACTCCAGTCTGGACGACAGAGTGAGACTCCAACTCAAAAAAAAAAAAAAAAAAAAGTTTCCATTTTATGAAAGTCAAAAAGTTTATTTTTTTATGACAAGAAACAGGTAAGAGAAAAAATTTGAGATTATATAATTCATAAAGTCCTAAATCTGTGATTACGATTTTGAAATTTTTTCTAACTGATCCTCACTGATCTTAGAAAAGTAATGTGCTTGGTTGAACAAGGTGGCTCACCTATAATCCTAGCCCTTTGGGAGGCCAAGGTAGGAGGAGGACTACTCCAGCAGCTCAGGAGTTCGAGACCAGCCTGGGCAACGTAGGGAGACCTCGTCTCTACAAAAAAAATTTAAAAAGAAGTTATGTGCTTTTATTTGAGCTTGTTTTCTTATGTTAAATAAAGTTTAGTTTTACCAAAGACTTTTAAGTCTTTAAATTTAAAGGCCACATATACATGCTGAAACTTAGGAATCATTTTATGAAACAAAGTATCTCCAAAAGTACCTAAAAAGCATAGAAATAAAAGGATGTGATAATATTATTAGAAATATACATAGCACTGTAATTCTAAACTGTGCTTCAGTTTTTAAATGCTTTGTACATCGATATCTTACTAGTACTTAACTCCATGGTTCTTGATGTTCTTTGATTTAAAGCTTAACTCTTTAACCATCTGTAAAAATAATCACAGGTTCAATATCCCTTATATGAAACCAAAACTGT